AAAAATGCCACCCACCGATCCGTGGACGACCAGCAAGGTCACAATGCCGGGCCGCAACTGGCACATCCCCCGTGTCTCGCAAAACAGCAGCGGGACAAAGACATGGACCCTCAACTCCCGTCTGTCCCAACCTGACAGAACAACAGAGGAAAGGAATCCGACAGAAGAAAGCGCAAAGACTGCGCGATATGCTGTATCGACGAAAGAGCAGCCCAAGATACCATTATCGAGAGGCGGCACATGGGAAAGAACACCAATCCAGACTTTCTCATCCACAATCCCGCCGCATAGGGTTTTGAAGCCGATCGCAACATTATCTTGGCTACAAGACCCTCGAGAGTGCTTCAGGCTCTCTGAGCCTGAGGGTCAGCAATTCGCTCAAATCCAGCAGATAATTCGTGATTGTCTCTGTATCACCGCACCGGACATGATCCGCCCCGATCTTGACTTCCGTACACAGTATGCGGTTGTTCGTGCGGGCCCTCACGAGGAACGGACCAACCACGACGAGTTCAAGGGTGACAGTTGTCCCGGCGTCCGCGCGACCAACCGTCGAACTAACCGCGAGTACAATGTCACTATGGTGGATGACGAGATTTGTACACGCTGACGCTGTACGGCCCGTGCTTAGAAGGCAGGACCGCAGACCGCTCGGCAGGTCGTGCCTTGACCACCTAGGCAACAAGCGCAGTTTGGACCGCAAGATCATGTCCATTCCACATGCTCATCCGCGAAGCAAATGCAACGTGTACCAGTAGTGATTGCTACACCTGGATGCATGGATGCCTGTTGAGACTGGCATGCAGTGCAACCGTTGCAACGCCTTCTTGTGACGAACCGTTACAAGCACAGGAGTATTATCGCTGGGATAGAACAATAGAGTAACGGAGTAGTAGCCAAAAGGTACCGGTGGATTTTGATAGCTATTGCTTGCTGAAGAGCCCTGTATTCAGGAATCCTGGGGAGGCCTTCCTTTATACTGGTCCTTCAGTATGGCACCGGCGCCCGGCGCACGTCTCATGCCCTACGGGAGGCGGAAGTAGACGTTAAAAATAACAACAACAACCGGCGCCCGGCGCGGCTCTGATTGGTCTATCTAAGTGCTTACATAAGTGACCCCTGAATGGATCGTAACACTTCTGCGCTCCTGGCAAAGTCCTTCTCAGGAGAATATCGCCGCCATCTGGAACAAGATTCCAGACTAGATGTACATGGAAGACCATGCCGGCGGTACATCAAGGAACCCCGCCGACCGGTTGTGTTTTACAAAGAATGGGAGAAGTTTGTAACCGACAAGCTTAGAGGTACCGAAGAGCATGTCCTATCAAACCTGGAGACCATTGAGTCTACAACCGAATAGGTCATCCCCAACCAAGTCACCAACGAGAACATGAAAGACACAGAACAAGTGGTTGTTTGGAGAGAGATTGTGTGGAATTTGGAGTTCACGACGAATATCAAGGTCGGTACAAGGGTTGGGCATCTCATGAGTTAGTCTATCATCTCAGTCACATTTGACTACCTCTACGAAGTTATTCAGGAAGTCTTTTTGTCTGTTTGATGTATCATCTACTCTGTATCTTCTTTATGCTATCGTTTAGGCTTTTCCCTTAGTCCTGCTCTTTCTTTCCAGTCTGGTTGCTCTTCTTTATTCAATCTGATACTCAGCAACCAGCTTCTCGTTCTGCCTTGACGGAGTTCAATCCTCAAAGGATCCCTGCCCAAACAAACCCGACGGGCTCCAGCCCAGGTTGGTCTTTAACGACTTCGGAACCACCGACGCAAAGAATCCCGGAAAGAACTTCGCGACCTTCCTCACCATCCTCCCCATACTATGGCCTCTCATCAGGCTTCCCTGCCAATACGCAACAGAGCCTGCCAATGCGCCGATGCCAACGCCAACAGCCATGACCCGGGACTTCCCCTCCTAAGAGAGTCCCTGAGCCCAGCGGTTGGTGACGTTGGCATGGAGGTATGACTTGACGTTCTCGACAGCCTCGTCCACCACGCTCTTCTTGGTGGTAGCCCGGGATGGCACCTTTGCGGCGTTTCGATTCCGGCCCTCGAACCATGGATGATTCAGCACCTGTTGAAGAGTGGCGCGATCCTTGGGGTGCCATGTGAAGATGGACATGAGCAGATCGGAAAGTTGGTCGATCTCTGCGTCTTCCAGCTTGACGGATAGTTTATCGTGAGAGACCGGTCGCGCTTTGCTGCTTAGCTGGCGTAAGTCTGAGAAGGGGAGCTTTGAAGGATTGGTCAGCAGTTGCCCGCTCATCTGCTTGACTTCCACGGCCGTTACACCCGTCCATAGCGCGTCGGTCATCGTGCTCTTCAACAAGTCCCGCCCGAACTGGGTGTGTCCTGCGCTCTTCTGGCCCACAGTTTGTTCATCTCTGTGCCGCTGCCACTCCTTCCTCGCGATATCCGTGACGGGCTCAAACTCCGCCTCCGCCTTGCCCAACTCCTCCGCCGGAGTCTTCTGATCGTGCTCCTCGTAGAACTTGGTCCTGAACGGCTCAGGCATCGGGCCCATATGTTTTTCCATATTGATCGAGAGCTCGTCTAACCACGCGCCGTCCTCCTCATGACCCATCGGAGTGAGCCCCATGGCCAGCCAGGCAATGACGCAGCCCAGGGACCAGATGTCGGACGAGTACGATAGAAGGTCGCGTACTCCGAAGCGCTCCTCGGGTGCGGCCCACCGGGTGGGAATACCTGTCCATCCCGGCTCAGGCGGGTTAGAGGGGGGAGTAGGACACTCCGAAGTCAGTTACGGCGAGCTGGGTGGCGCAGAGACCGCTGTGGTAGGGAACGCTCGTGCACGGGATGAGGAACTCGGGGACGGATGGAGCAGAGGCGCGGGTGACGGGCTTTTCGTCCTCGATGGAGATGACGCGGACGGGTCTGGGCGGTACCATGTGTTTCAGGAGTTCGGCCTCAGGAAGCGAGTCGACGCCGTCGCGGAGGCGGAACAAAATATTCGAGGGCCGGAAGTCGCCATGGCAAAGACCGCGAGAGTGCATGAGCTCGAGGGACTTGGCAAGTTGGAAGCAAAGGTCCTTGATCAGGGAGCGGCAGTGGCCGTAGTTTGTGAAGATGGATTCGGCAGTAGCAGCGCAGAGGGAGAAGACGAGGGCGAGGTGGCGGCCATTGGGACCATCGATCCAAAAGTGCTCGAGCGGGGGTGAAAGATGGAAGTTGGTTTCGAGTGTTGAGCGATCAATGCCGTGGAAGGCATCCAGTGTACGAAGCTCTGCGCAGTCGGGCTTCGAAACCTTGGCGGACATGACCTTTACTGCACGCCACTTCAGGATCGGGGAGGAAGTGTCCTCGCACAGCCAAACGGTGCCGTAGCCACCGGCGCCGAGCTTGCTCACCACTCGGAAGCGGCCGTTTGCACCGAGTCGGTCGCCGAAGATGATGGGATGGAAGCCGCCAGGTTTGTAATCGTCGAGTGGCTCGACGGTTCCAAAGACATCATCTTCCACGTCGTACGGAAACTCTTCCTCGTCATCACCAGGGAGAACGGACGGATTAGCGTAGGGTGTGCACATGGTGGCGGTGGCTTAGGGTGTGTTACGGGCCGTTTCTATGTTTGGTCGGTGTCGAAGGTCGATGGTCTGACTGGGAAGTGAGTTTTGTGGGTTTGGTGATGGAGGGTAAATTTGGATGCGCCGGAGGGAAGAAACAGAAGGATTGTGGTTTTATAACCCTAGCCACTTCAAGTGTCACTTCAATTGTCACTGGGGCCTGGAATGGCGTAGTGAGTCCGGTGTGAGCCTTCTGTGATGTGCGCAGGGTGAGAGTTCGTTGAACAACAGTGTGACAATGCGCACTAGGCTTTTTTTCGGGTGACGTTGCCGTCTGGCATGACAGCTGGCCACGGCTGGAGATTGAAACCGTCAAACGCGCCTTCTTTGTTCCGAACCTGTAATTCCAGTGCAAACAGGAAGGTGCAACCAAACAATGGAGGCCACCAAGGTACACAGCAGAGTTCAGGTGAATGGCCATTCAGATGAAAAGCACACTCCAGCATCCATTCACTGGTCAAAGCTAATTGTTGTAACAGGCACATTGACCACGAATGGTCTTATCGGACTGCACATTGAACAACATCTGACAATATGAAAGATCATCACATAACCCCTTTGTGACGAACCGTTACAAGCACAGGAGTATATCGCTGGGATGTAGGACAACGGTAGTAGTAGCCAAAAGGTACTGGTTGATTGTGAAAGCTATTGCTTGCTGAAGAACCATAATAACGAAGGCCGGGAGGCCTTCTTATATACTGGTCTTCAGCCCCGTCCCGTAGTCCCGTAAACTCGGGACCTATCTGATTGGTCAATTCTATCTAGATACATGAGGCTCAACGATTGGATCGTAACACCCTTCATTCATTCCATGTGAACTTGGCCGTCTGATACACGACTATAGGCTCATTCATCTTCATCCAGATGAGGCGGGCGACAAAGGAGCGGAAGTGGTATACACTCACTCAACGATATTTGGCTATGGCCCGTAATCCTATGCCGTGGGCAAGAAAGCCATTTTGTCTTGGCCCACATCCATCCATGTTGTTCATGCACTCTGAAAACCATCAACCTTGTTCTATATACCGTGATTTCAGTCATTCACTGAACCGCTATCCAAGGTTTCACAGCTACTTTCTCTTCATGTTGACTGGTACCCAACCTGAAGCAATGTTTCGGCCTCGAGCGCGAACTGGACCGTGAACAATGGCGGTGTTATCCAAAGGTTACCTGCCAGTTCAGTGAATGTTCTGTCTTGCTCAAGGACAGCTCCAATGTTCGTATGTGTCTTCAGGTCCGTCAAATGTCTCCTTTTTCGTCCTCCAGAACCATAAAAGATCACCTTTTTCCAGATACAGTTGTCTTCGGGTTTTCTCCTGGCTTCATCACATCCCAAGGTCAACCATACGACACCAACTCGATCAACGCTTATCACCAGTCATCACAAAATCCTCTCTACAGAACAACACCCGGCACCAAGATGCCTGGATACCGAAGAAGAACCGGACGCAAAACCGGCTCCTTCCCTGAATTTTGGCCTGATGAGCATGATGTTCCTGTCAACCTCGTATCGACCTACAATGCGTTCATGAGAAAGCCTGAGCTGCTACCAGGAGAAGAGGTTCAGATTGTGGACTACACTCACCTCAACTCCGAAAGCCCCGGAAAAAGAAGCAAGGTTAGGATTGATTGGATCAATTACACTTGGCACCGAGAGGTGGTCCCAATCCGCAAAGGCGAAGTGGAGGACATCGTTCGTGCTGAGGCAGACTCTCTGGGCTTGAAGTACGTAGGGATCCGCCAGGGCCCCCATAACACCGAAAGCGTTTACGAAAACGGGTTCCCGACTATGATTTGGGACCCGAGAACCGGCCGAACCAGAAAGCAGCAGAGAAAAGCCGACTGGCACATCACCCTCGTAATGGGCCACAGTATCAATGAGATTGTCCTGCACGGACATATGTTCATTAACTGGGACGGATTGGCCGATACTCCCATCACGATCGTGACAAATCCGAAGCCGAAGACGGAAGGGGGGGAGAGGGAATTCTTACATGGTGGGCCCGAGGTTTGCAAGCAATATTGGGGCACTGTTAGGGGTAGTACTCTGCCCTTGAAGGGCGTCGCAGAAGCTGCTCCGGAAGCTCCCACTACTTAGGCAGCCTGCTTTTCTGGTTTCAGTTGGTCAGTACCTACACCCTTTTACCTGAAGCTAGTCCCGGCTAACCAGCAACAGCATCGCATTGCGGTTGGTTATCGTCTTTACAAGCGGCTTTAGTAGGATACCCTTGGCTTTCGCACCGGAGTTTTGATGAAGGGATTGCGCAGCTCTTCACATAAGGAGTTGTGCAGGAAACGGATCAGCAGGAAGCAAAGCGCCAGTTTTGACGGTGACACTTGAGGAATTTGTTCGATACTTTAAGAGATGAGGGGAACTTTGGAATGGCTCAGAAGTAATCTACTAGGAGTCTGAATCGGAAGGGTTTTACAGGTTGATACCAAGTGTAAAAAATCGTTTAGGGACATATGATAAAGATTATTGGAAAAACAGTACCAAGTAGTCCAACATGCACAAGTGATGTCCGCCACTGAAATAATGCTTAACCCATCGTGATTATCATGCCCGTGATATAGCTAAACCCCTAATGTCCAAGTATATGCCACATTTATGCGTGCCTTCGTTGATGAACAGAAGCCACATTATCCAGTGCTGGTGTAACTAAACTTGTTTGCCGAACACAGTAGTTGCGCACGCGATGATCACATCCTCTTCTTGTATCTGTGAGCGAAATATTGCAGTGGACCTTTGATTAAAGATATCCAGAACCCCTTGCATGTACGGTCTCTCCAGTTTTGTAGGGGTGATCAACTTTTCCACGTGAGGGAGACCAAGTGATCGCATCGCTTCCCCAGCACGGTTGATTATTACCGGAGTGTAACGCTGTTACCAAACTTTCTGTAACAACCAGCCAAAGACACTCAACCAGAACGACTAGCTTTCAAAAAGACAGCATTTCAAAATTCAATTGACCGTGTAGATAAATGCACCGAAATCTGATAACCGGTAAGAAATGGCCAGTTACTGTCCTTTTTCCATTTCTGGACAGTTGAACAGGGCAGCTTGGAATCCCAGAAATACTCCGATGGTCCGTGCTGTGCCCCCGGATCGTTCCTTCTCACGATGAACAGTGAGCACTCGAATAAGTTGATCAACAGGCTGTATATGCCGTTGTTTCTGAACGGACTGGATGTTTGTACCTACATAAGGTATGTATGTAGGTTTGGGGCGCATCGTGAACGGCAAAGGGCTTTCTGCATTTCAACACCAAACACAGCTAGAACAGGGCGCGGGGAAAACAGCGTGATGCGATGAGTTATGCTTCAAAAGCTTCCCCTAAAGATCAAAACAGAAACGCGCATTCAAGACGGAGGACATTGCTTCTCGGCCGTGTTCAGGACCGTGGGACAAAAAGCCATAGCATGCATGTCACGATGGATAAGCGATGAGTCACAAGAACGCAGGGATGGCTAGTCGAGCCGGGCGAGGTGAGTGAGCTGGGCAAAAAGCACAAAAAAACATACAACACCAGGGATTCGCTGGTCGTCACCGACCCAACTACTAGTCTGGCCCTCAGTGGCTTATCTATGGGAGAGCGGACGGGATCCCGAGTTCTCCACTGGGTATGGTCGTATGTGGCATTCTTTCTTTGCAGTTAATTTATGTATCCCAAGTTACGAGCGCGCGATCAATGAAATCACGCCGTTTTGATCACTTCACTGCTGATGATTACTAGTAGCTGTGACTGACTGACGCCAGTATGCTGGTTCTCCTCTTCGTCGTTGAATGTGGGAACCCGGCCGCCCGACGGAATGCAACTCTGTAATAAGTTAGGGAGGAGAGTTAGACGGGGAACAAGCGGGATTGGGATTTGGGATATTGTTGCCTGGTTTTGGCGAGAAGGGAAGGTGACGAGTGAAGGGTTGAAAGGAGACGCTTTTTATCTGGTGCTCATCATGATGGCTTGAACACTTGAAGGTATAGGCACGACGCAGAACATGCCTATTTCCTCGCAACCAAAATGGCGCAGTTCGACTGTGTAGAAAGACTCGGCGTTTTGGTAGTTTTATTACACTATTCAATCAGCCACCTCGGACAAGTACAATGGTCTGTTCTCTAGCTGCTCATTCATAAAGGCGTGGTGGCTTATTACCCATGTTTGACCACTCGAGCACCTGAAAGGACGATGTGGGGTAGGAGCCACGGTTGTAGTGAACTTTTACGAGGAAGTAATGAGTATAAAGTTCCCTGATGGCTCCTAGAAAAAAGCAAAAGAGCATCCTCACCATACGCAACAGTCTCCAGCATCTAAAAGCCCAATGGGCTTTTGAACAAAACCCAGAAAATTACCTACCTATCCAACGGCAACACGGCGTAACCAAGTACGTCAAAAAAGACTGCAACTCGTCCACATGCCGGAAGTCGTCATCATATGTGTGACTAACCGTTACGAGCACAGGAGTATGTCGCTGAGAATAAGAATAACGGTAATCGTAACCGAAAGGTATTGGTTGACTGTGGAAGCTATTGCTTGCTAAAGAGCCGGTATTCAGAAAACTCTGGGGAGGCCGTTTGTCACACGGACATATGCCACA